GGAATCTGAAACAGTATTCACATAGAGGAAAGTGCTCTCTTTACAATGGAATCAATTAACCAGTTATTAGATCTTCTAGAAACTTTACTAATAAAAGATATTTTACAGACAAGGCCATAGATTATAATGAACAAAGCCATCAGTTGAACAAAGCCATTGGTTGAACAAAGCCATTGGTTGAACACAAAATATTAAAGCTGTAAATTCTTGTGATTTGAATGAATTTCAAAAACTAAAGAAATATTGCTCAAAAAAATTGGCTAAAGATTTAAGTTACCAACTTCTGCAAAAAAGTTGTTTTTTTAGATCCAGTCACAAATATTTCATATAAAAAAGACGAAATAAAAGGAAGTTTGATGGACAATGTTTTATACATAAAATTGACCGTGCAATGTATTTACTGCAAAGTATGACGTTTTTACACAAATAACATAAAAAAAGTTTTTTATTTGGCGACAGTTTGTAAAACACAAAAAAAAATTTCATATAATTTTTTTATTTAATTTTGGAACTTGGCATATTTTTAATTTAAGCAATTGTTATCTAGCATATTACTAAGTATTATTTTGTCAATTGTCGCTATTATTGTGTTAGTAAAAACATTTACTGAATATTAGTTATGAGGGAATCAGACAATGATTAAGATTCAAAACCAGGTATTAGTGTTACTAATCGGTTCGAATCGGAAATATAATTTACACATCTAACACATATGAAGAACAGGATTATTTATTATTAAAGTATCACACCTAAGAAAACGAAACTATTACATATTCAGAGTTAGTAGTGCTAGGAAAGAATATTTTAGCAATACCAACCTTTTTAGTGTATAAGCGGAGTCATGTTTTCAACAACAGCATTAATTCTGAATTCAAAAAAAGCAATTGATGCTTTTAATTTATGACATATTCATGACATTAGCCATATTTTATTTGAAATTTATTTAAGAAAGTATAATTTTGACTTGTTTTGTTCTGTTGAAAACGCTACCACTCATAGTTCAAGAAACTTTGTTAGTCAGCCACCTAGCTGACGAAGTTACTCCCCATATAGCTATTACCTATAACTGTCAGCCAGCAAATGGCATGTTCTTATCACGACTTAATTTCTAATATCTTAATTAAGTAAATAAAACGTAAAAAACAATAATTAAACAAATAATTAAACATTTTATATAATTTAATTTTTTTGTAACTATTTCAATAAAATTTTGTTAAATAATAAAAAATAAACAAAACTTTATAGTTTTGGTTCTATTAACCCATAATAAAAGAATGAAGTCCTGGAATAAATCGCGTAAAAAAATTGGTAATAATATTATTATAATAATATCATAAAAGTTTATTGTGTATTAATAAAAATAACATTTCAAATATTTATGGGTTAAATAAACATGTTGGCTTTACTGATCTTTACAACAAAGCGAAACATCTAAACGATCTTAACAACAGAGGCGAACATCTTAACGATCTTAACAACAGAGGGGAACGTCTTAAAAACCACAAATAACGTGCTGCTTGTTTGTTTGAATAAAAAAATTTATGACTTTAATTTACAATTAAACTATTTTATTCCCTTACGCAACTTTATTAATTAGTGTTAAAACTCTAGAAGAAAAAAAAAGATGCTAACAGTTGACCAGATCAATTGACGTCGAATGCAATTAGGCGCCAAAACCAAATGAACGTTATAATTTAAATTATAAAATTTATAAAAAAAAGTAAAGCAAACGATTTATATAAAAATTTCTTTGTCAGCGAGATGAGCATTAGATATAACGGTATAGTCTTTAGTGGACAAAGATGATGGAACGGTCTCTATTGCATCTTTCTCTATTAAATTTTTAAAACTTTGGCTATAATTTTCAACTATTGTGTTAGAAACTGTACTGGCGCTATTAGTTTTCAATACATCCTTTTCACTAATTTCGGAAACGTCTATATTAACCTGTTCATTCTTAACAACTCCTTTATTTACTTTAAACCGCGAACTCGTGGGCTGATTAGTTTTCGGTTTTGTGTTTTCTAAACTAACGTCTTTTTCTTTCGGTGAAAGATCATTTTTGTTTATGGTAACATCATTTTTTATTTCAGAAGCTTTCAAAAGTACGTCCTCCATTTCAAACGCATGCTTGTTACAAAAACTTTCGTTAAGGTCTTCGTTCAAATTGTTTACGCAAAATCTTACGGAATTTTTGTTCTCTTTGACCGAAGTAATTTCAGATACTAGTTCGCTTGATTGAGCGTTTACATTAGGAAGACTTTTTTCGATTGGTAAATCACTAATGTCTGATTCCGAGGCAGCAGTAGGTAACTGGGAGGCCGTTATTAAATTCATAGAAGGACAGGTAGAAAATACATGACTTACTTGAGGAATTCCAGTTGAAACTGATACGCTATTTTGAAGATAGTTTTTTTCTGTAGATTTTGAATGTTCGCCACGCTTTATCGTTGTATTACCTTGAATATTGTTAAGCACATCAGCGTAAGGATGTTGAGATTTTAAATCATCGATTGGATTAGATTCATTAGATAGTGCAGAACGAGAAGGTTGCGAGTGGTCTCGTTTGGAATATTTTGCACCAAATCTGTTAAAAAGACTTCTCTTTTTTCGTTTTAGATTGTGATCTTCTAAATTTATTGCCAAAGCAACGTGATTAGCTCTTGGTGATTCTTTGGAAACTTGGAATCTACCGACTTGATACGTTCTATGCACTGTAGCTTCTAAAGACTGAGATGTCCATTCGTCTAGCGTATCTAAATTAATATCATCCTCACTCATTCCGTCGAAAGGGTCATCGAGCTTGTCTTGAACACCTTGCAAAACACCAAAGACAAAGGCAACCATTAACGATATGTAGTAAGGAGACCAATTGTTAACATCTTTTTGTTCAGCGTTGACACCTATATGAACGTAATACGGAGAGAGAATCAATGGTATTACAAATATAAGGACTTTAGTGAATGATCGAATTGATCGAGGTGAACGATACTCGCGAATTACTCGCAACTTTTCGAAAGATAAACACATTATGTTAAGAAGAGCTACCATATTTGAAACAAGAGGAGAATTAGCAGGCATCGGACTAGCGCGAACCTTTTCATTTAATTGGTTGGCATCACTTAAATCTTCATATATAACACGTAAAATAAACTGACGGCGGTCCAATTTTTCTGTTAAAAGATATTCACGCAAATGAAATAAAAGACATTTTAACTTATTGCGAACAGTTTTCATGAATGCATCATCAAGCTCACATGCTTCCCTCCAATCACGTAAACAGAAAAACCACATCATCGAAGAAGATTTAAAAAGCGCCAAATCTTCTAAAACTTTTTCCCGCCTCTGAAAGTCCGTATTAATAGAAAAAGCTAACGGAAATACTATGGGCGATACAAACAATGTCACGTTAATGTCATATTCTATATCAAACGATTTACAAGCATAAGTTATTAGTCCGGCAAGTGCCATTTGAAGAAGTACCATAATGTTAAAGTTTGAGAAAAAACTCTGTATGAGATTTAGATCAAAGGCAAATACACGAAATTGGTTAAAGGATTTCCATAATCCCTTGCGCTTTTTTTGCCTCCGCTCACTCCAGCTGTATATGTCATGTCTACTATCTTCGTCCTCGAAATCAAATTTATCAAATGTTTGTTTAACGTTGGTTTTCATTTTCGTAGAAAATAATTTCAAAATATTTCTTTTTTATAAGAAGAAAATTTAGAACATGTTATATCGCTGAAAAAAAAAGGAAGCAATTTTGTGAATTAACAAACAGACACCTTGTCTATATAGTACAATATAACAGTAAAAATGACAAATAAAAACAGTATAACTACTCAGTTTATTTAGACTAAAACGTATTATTCGAAATAAATCTTGTGTATATTTTTGTCAAAATTTAATATCTTTAAAATGTTTAAAATGTTGCGATGTATAAAATAATGAATTAAAACTTTTTAAAACTTCATTAAATAGAAAAATAAATAAAATCTAATATAACTAACATTAAAACAAATTATTAAATAAAAACTACTCAAAACAAAGTAGTACTCAAAGGAAACATAAAATTTGACACTGTCAAAATACCGAAATTACTGTTCATAACAACAGGAAGAAAAAATTCACAGCTGTTTTTGGGTTGTAAAAAAAAACAAAAATAATTCCGTGTTTTATTGTTTCAAAGCTGAACTAAAATAAGAATTAATGATGTCATTTAAAATTAATGTTCAAAAGTTCTTGATTTTTATTTCAACTTTAATGCTTAACGTAGAAAGAAAATAAACAAAAAATAAAATCAATCAAATATGAAAATGCTATAATTAGAAACAAGGACTGGAACTGGAAACAATGATATTTAAATCATTTTTAATTATATGTTTTTAGGCGACGTGTCTCGCAAATATTATTCATATACTGAATACGATGCAAATCAAAATTAACAAGTAAAATTAATTAAATAAAAATAAATTAAAAAAAAAAATTTATTCGAAAATCTGAACATAAATAAAATTCAGAACGATTGGATTATACAGAAAAAACGGAAATAAGAACACAAACAAATCTTAAAATCAAATGACGACATTACCATTGCAATTCAAATAATAATAATAAAAAGAAGCAAATAATGCAAATTTAAAACATCATAAGCAAATAAATATACATCGCCAAACATATTGAATTTAAAATTGAAATTATTAAACTCATAAATACTTGATTCAATAAATATTTGATTCATATTCGATTAATTTTTTATTTTATACAAATTTTTAAAATTTTATCACATTCCTATAATACAACTGATAATTTCTTTTTTGAAACACCAAAATAAACGCGTATACAACTCAAAACAATACTAACACACATATAAATTACTATAAGTAAAAGCTACAATTAACAATATATATATATATATATATATATATATATATATATATATATATATATATATATATATATATATATATATATATATATATATATATATACACATGAGTTTTTATCTACAATTATTTTTAAATAAGTTAACAATAAATATTTTTAACAATTAATACTAAGTTCCTATTAAATGAACATCGTCACAAAAAATATATATAATATATGAAAATTGCTGAAAATTTCATGTCTGGTATAAATATTTGGAAAAATAAATAAAAATTTTAACTTAATTTTTTAAAAGTTATTAATAAAGTTTGTTTTCATTTTTCAATTTAAAATCAAACGAGAATTTATATTTCAGCAAATACACTGTCGTCATCATCATCATCAGATTCACTATCAAGAGGCTCTTGATTCTTTAAGTCATTATCCAAAACATCTACTATTTTTTCACAGTGATTGTTACTGATAAAGTCATTGTCTAAAAGATGAACTTGCTCAGAAGCTATTTTTTTGTGCTTGCCTTTGAATTTAAAATTATTTCCTGACAACAACCACAAATTAGGATTAGAAAATAATTTTTGAGAACTCATAAATGTGTGCGACGTATTTAGAGATTCACTTCCTTGGGGTTGGGTATCTTGAGACTCACTACTTAAGGGTAGGACATGAGTACTTTGGGATACTGCTGAATTAGTTTTATGTGCAAGCATTGTAGCTATGGTACCTGATGTTTCAACTCTATTAGTATATGAGTCTCTATTAGTAATTGAATCTTCAGCAGGATCTTCAACTGGTTGTTTTATGATACCTCCAGGTAAGATAGTTGTATTTCCTTGTATTTTATCAAGTATACCAGCATAAGGATGAGATTGAGGATCAAAAGATTCAAGAACAACATCTTTTTCGAATTGGAGCTGGCTTTTTTTTTTTAAAATCCAATTTTTTAAAGAAGGGTGATCATTCAAAATAAATCCACTCATTTTGCCAAGTGTGCTTTCATCAGATGATGATACTCTCCTAAGGGATTTTTTTCTATTAAGAAATAATCCATCATTGGTATCAACTACTGTAGTAAAAGAAGTTCTAGACCTAGGAAATAAATTGTCTTTTACACTCGCTTGTGTTTCAACTTTAAATCTACCGACAGTAAAAGTTCGATTTACTGTTGCTCCAAGAGACTGAAAAGTCCATTCATCTATTGTTGATAAGTTAATGTCATCTTCACTCATTCCATCAAACGGATCGTCAAGTTTATCTTGCACTCCTTGGAGAGCAGAAAAAACAAAAGCAACTAATATGGATATATAATATGATGCCCACACATTACCACTTTTGTGACCAATAAAAACAAAATTAGGTGATAATATAGTCGGTAGAAAAAAAATGAGAACTTTATTGAAAGACCGTATAGATCTTGGAGATCTATACTCGCGAACAACTCTTAGACGTTCAAAAGCCAAACCCATAGTATTCATAAGCACAAGAGCTCGAGCTATGAGAGATGTATTAGTGGGTAACTGGCTCACACGAACATTTTCAATTAGCTGATTTATATCACTTAAATCTTCATAAATAGCTCGAAGAATAACTTTACGACGAACTATTTTGTTGGTCATGAGATACTCTCTCATATAAAAAAGCATAACTTTCAGTTTTTGGTGAAATGCTTGCATCCACAACTTATCTAATTGTGCAGGTTCTCTCCAGTCTCGCATACAAAAAAATAATGTCATTGCAGCAGCTTTAAAATTTGCTAAATCATCTAAAACCTTTTCTCTTCTTTGGAAATCGGCATTAATTGCAAAAGCTAATGGAAACACAATAGGAGAAACAAATAAATTTATATTTACATCAAATGTCAAATTAAAATGTGTTGATAAGTATACTGCGATCCCAGCTAATGCCATCTGCACAAATACCATAAAGTTAAAGTTTTGAAAAAAACTTTTTAGTGTGACTATTTTAAATGTATACAAAAGAAAACAACGAGAAAAAAAGTTTCCTTTGGTAGAAAGTTTAAAAATTCTTTTTTGTGACCACTCATGAATCATTTCTCTTCCAACTTCATCTTGAAGATCCCAAACAGGAGAACTATCAACAGCTTTGGGAGTTTGTGACAGTTTGTGACCAATTTTCTTCAATTGACCCATTTTCTAAATATGTAAACAAAATATTTCAAATAAATAAAAACAAAGCATTATATTTGAGATATAAACATTTTTTTTAATTTTCAACGCCACTATCTCAACACACATCATCCCATCCTAACACCTCACTATATATTTAAGAACCAGATAAAAATATAAAGCATGCTAGAGAAAATTTTTACAATAAATAAATATAAATATTTCAAGCTTTGAAATTCTATGATTTTTTCCATATTTAAATAAAAATTTCATTTGTACATTTTTTTAAAATGTTAAAGCAAAACTATTTTCTTTTTAAAAAATTTAAAACTTTTATTAAAAATACTAGTATTGCTCCAAAAATATAAGAATAGATAAGAATGTCTTTTAAAAAGTATTGAAAACCTGTTGACAATATGATTTAAATCTTACCAAAAACAATAGATCTTTTACAAACATCTTACCCCACAACCAACCCATATAATATATTCAAAAAATAAAATTAAAACTTTAAGAATTTAAAACATAAGTAGTTATGATATATCAAATCTATTTAATCTATTTATTACATATGTTTAATCTATTTACCATAAAATCACTGTGAGAAATTTGCATTAAACTATTTTCTTTAAAAAAAAATTTAAAAAACATAAAAAGGATTAATTCATAAACAAAGAACATACCAACCAATCAAATTTATGGAAACATCATTTAAAAATGTACCTCTAATCAAGCTTGAATATTTTATTCAGTCATGGAGAGCAAATCTAAAATAAGAATTGAAGAAAAATAATTTCTCAAAAATTTTTTTTATTTATCACATATTTCTAAAATGTCTTAATTATTAGAATACTGTATTTAACAAAATGCTTAATTTACAAAATAATATATTTATTAACATATTTATTATAATAACATATTAATTGCACATTTTAGACATAAAATGTGTGTAATTAATAGAATACTGTATTTAATAAAATGTTTAATTTTATTAAATACAGTATTCTATTAATTACACACATATAATTTATGTAACAGAATACTTTATTTTAGAAAAAAAAACTGTATTTAACAGAATACTTTATTTAAGAGAATACTTTGTTTAACAGAATGCTTTATTAAACAGAATATTTTACTTAGCAAAATATTTAATTTAACAAAATTTCACAGTGTTTAATTTCTTAGTTTTAATTTTTTTACAATACTACTTTAGAAAGAAGGAATTCTAAACATCGCACAAAGTTAATTTTCAATGCTTTTTTAGTTATCTTTTACTTCATGAAAAAAATTTACATTATCTAAAAATTTACCTCTCTTAAAAATAAGACTATAACTTATTATAAACCTTTACAAACTGCTCTGATAGTAAATAAATTTCTTGCTCTTGAACCAGGTAATTCCTCTGCCTTACTAAATAACCAGGAAAGCGACTCTTTAAAAAAACATTTGCTTTGGTTTAAATCTTCAAACATTTTTTTTAAATACAAATTTACTATTGTAAATTTAGGTTAATACAATACTATTATATTTTGTGTATTTAAATTTAACGTAAAATTATAATCTGAGCTATATCAACAATAAAATTATAAATAATAATGTCTATAAATTTGTTTGTTGTCTATTAAAAAATATCATAAAAAGAATCATATTGATTGCCATGCTGGCTGGGTAATTCCATGTCAAATGACCTAAGTCATGTTACCATACATCTCAGATTTTGCTGACTTTTATACAGTTGAGAATGTTTAGTAAAATAAGAACTCTTTGAAAGTTTTAGCCTCTGGCTCCAAGAAGACCCTGAAATATGACTGTTTTACTTTTAGCAGATATTGGCCAGGCCCCTCTTGTCACTTTAGAATTGCAACATTTATTTGGAGGTTTTAAGTCACATAACTTAAAAATATTTGATTTTTTTACTTAAAAATTTGTAACTGGCTATTTTTGGGGGTGGCGAATTTAATGAAATGATCAGAAGTGTAAAAAATTATTAATAAGTACCTGAAATTATCATTTGAAATAAATTTAGGTAACTTTTTATACACCTGTTTTTAATGCTCAAGAAACCTATGTAGCCTTAATGATATCAAAAAAAAATTACACATTCTATATTCATAGATCTTTCAAAAAATATAAAGTTTTTGATATGCAAGTATATGGATTTCCATATATGGATAAAAGGGCACAAGGTCCCCACTTTTTGTAGCGGAAATATTGCAATTGATTTTTCACTCCTTCCAGACTAGCTGGAGCTCTGTAACTTTTGGCATTTCTGTCGTGCCAATAAATGTGCATGTTAAAATTTTTTTAAGGACCCAAAGACATTGGGGGGAGGGGGATTACTGTGGCATAAACCCCACTTTTTTAAGATTTGCTTAGATGCGCCAATATATACATACGTCCAGTTGTTGTTACAGGTCCATCAATGATACAAATTATGTAGGTAATTGGAACCCAACACTTATCTGCTCTAGATGGCTAGAAAAGTATTATTAAAAGTACCACGCGGATACATAAATGTTACTATAACATCTTGCTCAATATTGTCAATTTCATTTATCATACCAATCCAATGAAACATCATATTTACACAGAATAAATTCACCCAATTTTAATGTATTGATGTTAATTTGCTGATTTTTTCAATTTTGAAAAAAATTGCTGATTTTTTCAATTTTGAAAAATCTTTTCAATTCAAGCTGGTCATTTGTGGGCCTTTGTAGACTTTCACTTGCGGTTAATAGTTCGACAGTGCCACCAATACCATCATATGGTGATTTACCATGACTTGTAGAAAAAAATTAACGTCAAAACCATCTTTATGGAAACAGATATTGTAATAGTTTTTGCGGTTTATATACTGTGCAGCACAACCATCTGAAAAATAAAGAACCTTTGAAATATTAGGATGATTTTCTTTTAGATAATTAACTATTTGTGTCTGAACTTTATACACAAAACTAATGTCATTTTCATTATCTTCTGAAATGAAGCAAAATGCTTTTCTTTAAGCTGGTCATTTTTGTTTAATAAAGGGCAACAGGGCATAACTTGCAGTTACAGAATACAAAAAGGACACTGGATTTGATAGTCACAATAAATTACTTCTTCCTAGTTTTTGGTATCCATAAGCTTTTAAAATATAAAAAAGTATATGGACTACTAGAGGAGGAAAAAATCAAGTTTTTTAAGTTAGAGAAACAATTTTTAAACCTGAAGTCCTTAGATGTAATGGCAACAAGGACTCCAGGCTTAAAAACAATTAGTTCAAAGTCATTAAATATCATATATTTTTTTCTTATAGCAGCTCATAAATCAACCAACATGTTTAGAGCTTCTAGTATAGAGACAATGAAAAAATAAAGATATAAAGCCAGAGTCCTTTTGGGACTCCGCATCCCTAAACCTAGAACTACCTGCACAATGCCCTGCTGCTTTGTAGGATTTGCTTTTTTAGACCAAAGCTATGAAAAAAATGAAATTTCCTTGCCTTAAGACTCTTGGTTAAGTAAAAGCTGGAGATAATGAAATAAATATACTCTTCTTGGGCAGATGTTAACTGGATCTAGCTACTGTCTTGTAGAAGGCCTCCTTTGCAAAGACTTTAAGGGTAAGCAGAAAAATTCTGTTGACTAGCTTCACACCCTTTTTTCATCTATTAGGCTGGCATAGATGTAATCCTGTCTTAAATTGTTTTCTTCCTATGATGATGATCTTTTTGACTCATAAATTTTTGGTTGTGCCTCTTTAATAGTGGCTAAGCAACTTTTCCTATTATCTCCTAATGGTACATCTCTAAAACTTAGTTTAATGGTTCTAAAGTTGGTATTTAGTAAGATTTCCTAAACTTTATGGTAGCACTCAGAGAGTTATGACTTTAAGTTAATTAGCAGGACTGAGACAACTGAATGGTATAATGCTTGAGATACTGTGCTCTATCTTTGAAAGAGTCAAGTTTTTTTTAAACTTAAAACAATGTATAAAGTAACAGAAAATATTAAGCATATAAAACCATTCCCACCACCTATATGTTTAAGTATACCTTTCATAAATATTCATGGTCTTGCAAAATTCACCAGACTTGATTTCTCTTTGTGAGACTAATTTAAATTTGGTTGTTCTTTCTTTAGATCTCAATATTGATGGGTACTATGCTTTGATTTGCAAAGACTCTAATAGTCGCATGCATGGCTTGGGTGTGACCTTACATCTTAAGTGGCTTCATTTCGTGACAACTCAATTATCAGGGTGTTACCCAGGAAAAAATTTCATACAGCGTTTTGGCGAAATTGGTAATTTAGGTGCGGCTATTTTAATTAATCAACTTGTTTCATTACGAGCAATCTTCTAAAGTTATCATTTAAATCGCTTCTTTTCTCTGTTTTTGATATACTGCAGCCGTTTTTCAAAACATCTTAATTACGTATTTTGAGAAAAGCGCAATTAAAAAAAAAGGAAAAAAAAAAAAGAAAAATCTGAACTCGAGAATAAGTGACGTCAATAAAATTTTTAAAAATAAGTTTTTTTAAACTTTTTTTTTTTTTAATTAAGGTTAATGATGCTAGTTAATGACAACATGTTTTTACACATAAAAAAAAATTGATCAATTTAATTCATGCATACTAATTTTTACTAGTCTAGCGTGACACTTTAAATCTGAGACTGACTTAATTTTTTTTTTTTTTACTATGATCTTATAAACCGTTGGGAATTTTAAACCAATTGGTAATACCGCGTTATACGCAGTGCCATCAGACTGGGTAACACCCTGATTATATACTCTTTTCTTGACAGATTGCGGCTTGCAGTAGCTTGTAAATTTTAACTCCAACAACTCTCTCACTGAGTCCTCTTTTTTACATCCTCTTGGATAACTGCTCACTACTGACCTTTCATAGAAACCATATATACAATTGATTGCCAAGTTAGCATCTGCTAAAATTGTTTCTCTTTATCATGCTCGCTATTAACTTACTCCTGATTTGATTCTCTGCCTCTAAAAATCTCTTATTTGTCCCTGTATGAAATACTATTGTCATATTTGGGCTGGCTCTTACAATTGTGCTTTTTTATGAAACTCTAAATGTAGTTGTATCTGCTTTAGGTCTGATTTAGCCCCAATCTGTCAAGAAAAGAGTATATAATTAAGTTGTCATGAAATGAAGCCACTTAAGATGTAAGATTGTATTTCTGTCTTTTTATTATGAGGTTGGATCTCGTTTCAAGAAGTACTAACATAGTTGATAGTTAAGTACTAACATAGTTGATTGACTCCTTTCAAGAAGTACTAACATAGTTGATACTAGAACAAGGTCTTTTTTATCAACAATAATATCTTGCTTGACTTGACATTCAGCTGACTTATCTTTTTACTACAAATATCAAATCAAATTTATTTTATTTTCCTATCTTTAAATTTTTCTGACTTTTAACAGTATCCTAATTTTTTTATGAACTGTTTTTCCACTCTTATCTCTCTTTTTAGCTTTTGAGTAACTCCCAACTTAAAGCATCTAGAATCATCTATTCTTGAAAAACATAAACAGAATGTCTATGTTTTTCAAAAAATTGTTGCATTTAGTATTAAAAGCTAAAGACAAATTTTTTGATTAAAAAAAATTTCTAGCCACCATTTTTTTTTTATAAAAACATGATGAAGCTCTCAATCTATTAAAACCACAGACAGCTATCTGTTTTTTAAATACAATAACTAGAAAACTAATGGAACTGTGGCATTATTACCTTGTTATTATAAGCTATAAGTTAAGCCTTTGACTCTATGCAGACAGCTGTGTGCAGATGTCACACTAAACCCATTGCTTTCTACTCCAAGAAATTCATAAAATTTGCCCTTCCAGCACAACCCAAACAATCAATGTTTCATGGGGTAAAGGTTGCAACAAATAAAAAAATTGAATACGCTACTACAGATACTGTTGTAATCTTTAAGAACATGGTTTGTGTTAAAAAAAATCTGCATAGTAGATTTTATGACAATGAGGACTGAATAGAATAATTTGCTAAAGTACAGAACATACTTAACAGGACATAGTTAGCTTGTTATCAAGGATAACTTTTATACTTTGATTGTTAAAGAAGGATTCAATAATCTTAAAGATATTACCTAATACTCCATAAAAAGCTTTTGGAGAAGAACAGCATGCCAAACTTTGACAAAGACTTAATAAATGTTGAGAGCGATAACCTTAGCATCACCACATCTATCTAATGCACCTATCTAAACCTTAGCATCACCACATCTATCTAATGCACCAATCTAAAACCTAACAGAAGATGGAGTGATATGAATGTCAAACAAAGGATCAACCTGTTTATCAGCTATATCAAATAGGATTAGATTAGTGGAATCAAGAGATGAGATTCATGAAAAGTTCTTAGCAAACAGTTCAGCTTTGTCTTTAAGTGAGGTAACAAAATCTGAATCACGCAAGAGAAGATGAATAACAAATTTGCCCTTATTATAAATACTATTAAAGATTTTCAAGAAGAGTCTGGAGTCCAATTTTTGTGATGAAATACAAGATTTTGTGACCTGAGAATAGCAGACTTTGGTGTTAAGCAAAACCTTTTTACAATGGTTTCTAGCAGCAGTAGAATAAGATAATAGTTTTAAAGAGATCAAACTAAGATCAGAAGCACCTAAGGGTAAATGTGGAGAAATAAAGCGATGACTAGGATCAGAAAGATGACAAGTAGAGAAGTCAAGTAGAGAAGATAAATGAGTCATGTTGTCTGGAAAGCAAGTTGGAAAGTTGACTGTTTGTGTTAAAGATTGAGAAAGGCAAATATCTTGGACCTTTCTCCTGCAGAAGCATTGACACTAGAACCAAGCCATTCAGAAAATTACATACTATAAAATAAATTAAGGAGGGAGAGGGGGGGGGGAGGATTCACTTACGCATTCTAATAAAAGTAAGAAATGTAACATAAGGTTAGTAAGTAAGGTAACATAAGCAAGCATTCACATGTTCCATTTGTGGCATTCAAATTCAAAGCATAGACAAACTTAAGGCAGTTAGAAATTAAAGACGATTAGACAGCAAAGGTCTTGGTAACCATTAGCTTATTCCAATTGTTTTGAAAAATCAGATTTTTTATTTTTGTGTTTTGCAAAAATATATTTATTCCATAAACCAAAATGCATCTATAAGCTTAAGTTAATATATACCCATATCTGCAATCACTAAACCTTTAAATATTTTTACAACTGTTAACAGGAGCTTCCTACACTTATTGTCTTTTTATAATTTAGGAAAGTAATTATAATACTTATGGATCCAAACTATAAAAAAAAAAAAAGTTTAAAATCAAGAAATGTAAATGTAATGTAAAACATAAAGAAAAATTTTCTGCCAGATGTAACATGCCTGTAATTACTGTAGGTAAAGACCGCACTGTTAAAAATAGCCCTAAACCAAAAATAATATTAACTAAAAGTATACTAAAATACAAAAAATTAACTACAACAACAATATCTTACTAAATAACTAAAGAAACTTTGTTATAGTTATTTACTAAGTAAATTTTTATACATTACTTATAAAACTCCTTATCCATATCAACAACTTCAACTTTTATTTTTTCAAGATCATAAGTAAAAATTGACAAACCTGGACAGCTGCTTGTGGAGTTAAAATATCTGCATATCTCTGTAACCCCCTCAAATTGTAGGGGTTACAGAGATATGCAGATATCTCTGTAGTCCCATGGGGGTTAACTTTATATTGTAATAAATTATATTGTAATAGAAACGTTTAAAGCTGAGAAATAATATGAAATACTATGAAATGTAAAATTTATTGATGAATATAAGTCTAAATGAGAACAGAACAAAAAAATATTTTATCAACTTGTTGCCCCTCACATTTGGGGTGGAGGGGGTTAGGGAAGAAAGTTAAGGACTTTTTTGTTCCCAGCCTCCAATCATTGCAATTTGTTTTAACGCATCATTATTTGACATAAGTATTTATGTAAAATTTTATTAAGTAATGTTTAGAATTCGAATAACAAACTTCAAATATTCTATTGATTAAAGATGTTTACACAAATCGACAATCAAATATAAATCTTAATATTATCAATAAACAAAATATACCCAAATTTGACAATATTTTGCACAAAAAAAACAACCCAGAAACCTAGAAAACTCAGATCTAGTGAAAAAAACCCAGATATGGCAACACTGCAGATGTTCCTCGTTTTGATATTTTTTTAAGATTTACAAATTGCTTTGAACTTTTATTTTCATCTATATTAAAATAATCTATAAAACTTTTAACTCATTGTTGATTTAATTTTATTTCAAGTTTAATTTCTAGAATATAACTAATTATAAATATATATATATATATATATATATATATATATATATATATATATATATATATATATATATATATATATATATATATATATATACATATATATATATATATAGGCCTCGGCGGGAAGCGAGAGCTTTAGCTCTTGCCCATACTCCCCTGAAACGGTTTACAAGAGCTATTTACGGCACTTGCAAAAGTATAATTTTTCTCATAAAAGTATAATTATCATTTTAAATAAAATAAAAAACACAATGGCATTTTAAAAAAATTAATTGCATAATATGCTAAAATGCTTTTTAAAAGACACGGTTGTTGCAAAAAAAATTATAATTAAAAAAGAGCACTGATTTAAATGAGGAGCAGCTCGCACAGCTCCCCCAGTTCGTTTTAGGAGAGCTTTTTAAGGCCTGTATATATATATATATATATATATATATATATATATATATATATATATATATATATATATATATATATATATATAAATCAACAATGAGCAAAGCAACTAAACAATTTTTAGCAAATAAGTAAGCATTTAAGTTGACAGTTAACATCATATTTGAAAAAAATTCTTATTTACTTATTAGTAAAAAAAAAAAGAGCACTCAAATTTAATTTCGAATTTTGGGCTGATGCATTGGCCTGTAGCAATTAGCATTGGCATCTGGTAAAAGTATGCATCAGTGAACCCCTAGTATTAAGTAAGGGGTAAGGCAAGGGGATGGGAAGTCTACAAAATGATTACCTCTGAATTCAATAGGGAAAAAGAGCTTTTTTTATACTAAGTAATAATAGGCTTTAAAAAACATACATTATAGCAGCTATATGTCTGCAACCTAATTGCAATAGTTTAGGTATGCTACCATTTGCAACTATGTGCTAGTATTTGCTCTCTTATTACTCATACCATTGTTAGTAGGATGTAATAACAAGACTAGAAATACATATATTTATAATAAGTACTATTTTTATGCTTTTAATTAAAAAAAATAAAACTTAAGTTATAAAAACCCAAATATACACAAAAAAACAAAATTACATTTAGCTACAACTATAACAACTTCTTGTATCATAAATTTATGAAATAAAATATGTAAATAAATCTAAAAATATAAATTACCTTTGATATTTGCAAGATTAAATTAACTAAACATTTCTGACATTTTGGTGCAAATTAAATTGTCAACTTTTGATTATTTTTTAACTTTTTAACAGTAGGATCCCAACATAAATTTGTAATAAGATTAATGCACAAAAACCTTGATTGTCGATTTTGTTTCATTTAGAAATTAACTTGTCTTCTAACTCTATTTATTTTTGTTGTACTAAATTTTATTGTACTAAATTGATTATTTAATTAAACATTTAAATTTTAAATGATCTTTATGCAATTGTATGTATGTATGTATGTATGTATGTATGTATGTATGTATGTATGTATGTATGTATGTATGTATGTATGTATGTATGTATGTATGTATGTATGTATGTATGTATGTATGTATGTATGTATGTATGTATGTATGTATGTATGTATGTATGTATGTATGTAAGCATGTGCATGCATATATGGATTATGTGTGTGCATTTATACGTTAAAATAAATGTGTATAACTGTGTAGGCAAAAACTAATTTAGTCTTTCATTTCTAAAATAGTATAGTAATATAACTACGCCAATTACTAAGTTATAATATAATGTATAAAATATTTTGCAAACAATAATAAACATTAACATAGTAGCTTTATACGTACAGAGAAACAACTACAATATTGATATATAAACACGGTATACTTAAACAAATTCACACAACAATGTTAAAAATAAAACATTTTATTATTGTGCATTTCAATATCACTCAAATCAAATTATATCGTTTTAATATCGCTAAAAAAAAATAAAGAAAACGCTAAATAATATCTAATATACGAAAGTATATTAGATGTTATAATATTATTATAAAAATAAATGCCAAGTATAAATATTATTATAAAAATATAAGTTTTAAAATAATATTATAAAACAAAATGTTTATAAAATAATATTATAAAAATATATGCCAAATTAAACTTGGAAATTTTATTTCATATTACTTTGTTTTGTATTTATTATTTAAAATTAAAATCTTCGGCGGTGGAGACTACAGTTATTGAATTCAGTAAAAATCACAACCTTGATTCAAATAAAAACAGAAAAAAATTGTTAAATGGGTTACATTCAGTAAATTTTTCAGGTATGAATAATATGAGTTACATTCAGTAAATTTTTGAGATATCAATAAATTGCAGTAAAAAATTCAAATACTTCTCATTCTACGCTTCATTTAGGTGCATAAACAATTTAGTAATAAATCTTAACCTTGATTCAAAAAATGTGAAAAAATCGAAAGGGATGCATAAAGTAAATTTTTCGGGTAGGAATAAAACGCGGTAAAAATTCAAATTTTTTCGTTCGACATCTCTTCAGAGTAATTTCGTTCGACAAATCTTCTGAATAAACTTAGTCATCTGGGATTTACATGGGATACTAAACATTCGACTTTTGCTTCACTCAATAATACAAATATTGATGAAAAAATTTCAAATTTTAGAGCTTTTGTTCAAACTCTTATTCAATCTGGAATCCGGTTTGTCCACCCAAGTTCTATTTAGTTCTATATATATTAATTACTGGCAGTCCCAACCTTAATTTATGGTACGGAGCTATGTGAGAATAATTCTGTTTTGATGAAAAAGTTACATGTAATTGGAAGGAGTGCATTAAAATCGCTTTTAAATGTGTCAAAACACAGTAAGAGCTTTACAAATTCGCTATTTAAAATCCAGGAAATTTCAAAAAGCATTCAACAAAATATATTAAACTTATTTCTTCATCTTCTTAATCACTGGCGTATAAACGCGGGGGGAAGCGAAGTTGAACAAACTTCGAAATATGTTGAAAATGAGAGTGCTGGAATGCGAAAGAACAAAGACGGATTTTTTAAACGAATTCTGAAAGAAAAAATTCTTAAGTGAAAATCACGAGAAATAACTTTCTTATTTTTCTTTTTACCTTGTAAATTACATTAGGTGATAGATAAATGAAATAATAATAATAAATAACTTAAGCACACAAGCAATTCTTAATTAATTAGTTCTCAGCGGCCTGTTTTAGAGATTTGGTTAAAATGAACTCACAGGAAAAAGGACTTTCTTTAAATATACTACAACAATGTTCAATTAGAGTTGAAAACTGAAATTTACATTGAAATTTTTCATAAACTTTTTGTATAGTAGTAGAATGTTTTTCTGAAATTGATTAACGCTGAAGAACGAGACGATCAAAAGTAGGCCGAAAAAAATTGTATTTCTCATATTTTAAGTTAAAGCGGGCTTTCCATTTGTAATTTCAACAGCATTTCAGCATTTTTTACCTTTTTTCCCCAAATAACACCCGTTTTCCTTGAACAATAAATAAACTGAATGTGTTGTTCCTCAGCGCTAATCAAATTCAAAAAATTTAAGGAAAATGTTGATGTAAATTTCATGTAACTGTTTCAATGTGAATTTGTTACATTAAAACAAACAATTTTGTAATTAATGTGAATTTGTTACATTAAAAAAAACAATTTTGTACTTAATGTGAATTTGTTACATTAAAACAAACAATTTTGTAATTAATGTGAATTTGTTACATTAAAACAAACAATTTTGTAATTAATGTGAATTTGTTACATTAAAACAAACAATTTTGTAAATAATTTAAGTTTTATTTAAATTATATAATGTAAATTGCTCGGAATATATTTTAATGTAAATTACTCGAAAAATATTTTGATGTAAATTGCTCGGAAGTTAAGACTTTTTCACAACTTCACTTCCTCTCACTTTGGGAAAGGTTGCAATTTCCAAACTGAACGCTAACTTAGCGTTCAGTTTGGAAATTGCAACCTTTCTTACTTAGTTAGTTGCAGGGGCGGGTTTTTTCACTCGCCAAAGAGGGGGCTAAAAAGGTCAAAAAAAAAAAAGGTATATTTTTATTAATTTTCAATTATAAGTAACTTTCTTTTTCAATTTTTTGTACTTTAGTGTAATAATCCAGTTCATATACGTTTAATTACGTATAATAGTCAATTTCATTCGTCGACATAATAGTACATTTCTGTAATTTACAAAAGAATATTTCTGAAAAACATTACCAAGAAGGAAGGGGGATTCTACTACCCCATGCCCCCCTCCCCTAAAACCCGCCACTGGTTAGTTGTAAAAAAGAATTTACTTCCGAGCAAGATTTTGTTTTTAAATTTATTAAGTAAACTTTAGGAAGACTGAGGTAATATATTAATTTTAATATGACTAACTCCCATTATGTGTGAATTGATTTTTTGAAATGCAAAAAATGCAATTGGTTGCATTTCAAAACTAGCCGTGTTGCTTATTCAATTTTTTAAATAATTATTCAAATGCTAATTCAAAATTAGCATTTCTCTAAAGGTTACGCTGACTATTGATTGCTAATAAAAATTTTCGTTTTCAACATTTCTACTTAAAAAACTAAAATTTAGCAATTTAAATTCATGAAAACTTGCTAATTACTAATTACTTACTAATTAGATAATATCTAAGGTGATCACAAAATAAAGAATTAAAAAAAAAATTGAAAAAAAAAAGATATTATTACCTTATCTAATAAATTTTTTTTATTCTATTTAGTTTATTGAAAAAGGTTCTACCTTTTGTTTTATAAATTTTATGATATTTGATTTTTACGTTACGTTCATGAACGTTACGTTTCGTTACATTCATGAACTAGATAGGTTTGTAGTTGTTTCAATACGGTAACTAAGGCCTTGCTAAGAACTTATTTGTTTATGATCATAAACAAATAAGTCTTTAGCAACGCATTAGTTTTCGTATTGAAACAACAACAAACTTATCTAGTTCATTGGTAAGAATATTTTATATAAGATCTACTAAAACAACGTTTGATGCGATTATTTTGAATTAATTTTTAAATTTCTTAAGTTATATCTTAATGAGTGTATTTGTTGTCTAGAATGTAGCTTAAATGGTGTTACTCAGCAAACATTGTTTTAATAGATTTGTATATACCTATATAGGCATTTTTTCAGCGGTTTATTAGAGTTTTGCTCATCGATAACTTTGTAGACCGTTAGTGGCAGCCGCTATAAATGGCAAGCCGATAACTTTCCGACATTTAATAGTGGCTAGTCGTTGCTTAGCCACTTTTAACGGCTGCCACTAATGTACCACTTAGTAACCGATGAGCAATACTATAACGGTCCGTCTAAAATACCCATATAGGTCGACTAAAAATTCCGCTATAGAGTGTTTTCTGGGTTAGTTTGGTTAATTAGCTTTCATCTAGTATTGGATATGTAGCTTTTGAACGATTTATGAAAATTTCAAAAATAATAATTTTCTTATATAAAAATTATTATTTTAGATTTTATTGCATAATAATTATAGTTTTTTAACTAAAAGTGAAAAAGGTGCATTTTTACATGTTTTTTAATAATAAAAAAAATTTATTAGTATGATTTTTATAAAACGATTATTATTTTCGAATTTTTTATAAAATTTTGCTTCTTTTGAGTACCAGGTTGATCTGTTTTTGAAAAACCTTTTTTCTCCAAAATATTAGGGTACCGGTAATTTTCCCAATATAGTTGCTTTAAATCTATCACAATTATTCTCATATTTGATAGTATTAATATTAATAACTATTAGCAATGTTTAGAGCCTGTAAAAAGAAAAAATTTTTTTTTGACCCACCCTAATATATATATATAAATATATATATATATATATATATATATATATATATATATATATATATATATATATATATATATATATATATACATATATATATATATATATATATATATATATATATATATATATATATATATATATATATATATATATATATATATATATATATATAATTTTTTAACTTTTTATTTATTTTGTTAGGGGCTCTATGAAAAGGTTGTGATGTTAAACACATCATCCTTACCTTCTTTGAGTCCCTGACTGATTAGAACAGTAAATACATATTATAAAACAAAAAAATATAAAAAATTATAAAAAACGTTGTTTATCATGTTTATTTTTACGCCGCTATGTATTTTTTACATGATTAAATGAAAATTGTAATTGTAACTGTTTAATCAGCAAAATAAAAGTTTATATAATAATATTAATAATTTAGGTGCCTCAAGTAGTTCTAACGGTCTTGTCACAGAACACCGCGGAAGTGCATTTAACCAGGAAGTTCACGCCTCCTTCCTTATCGTGACGCGAAATATGTCCAAAGCTCGTTTCGAACCTTGATC